CACAAATTCCTTTAAATGTGATTAAGGTGTCTTAAATATTGTAAAATAACAAAATTCAAGCAACAATACGCAATCTCCTCTCACCTATTGCTCCACTGGCCACATACAAAAAAGCAAGGCCAGTATCTAGAGAGTTCGTTTCTTTTGCTACTTGTAAACAAAGACTGGAAAAAAATAAACGTATTGTAATAATGAGGAATCATTTTGTATATATTTTTAATTTTCATTATATTTACATATTTAATACAGTTAAAGGAAACATGTAGTAACAAAAACAAATATTTTACTGTAGTTGTTTTGTTAAAAATGTTGAAATCTCACGAGATATTTTTTAAGTCAATTATTTGGAAGCTACAATGTAAATACAAACAAGAAAAAAATAGCTTGTCTTATTAATACTTACGAAAAAATATATGTTGCCGATAAAACAATAAGCGCACATTTGAAAATCAACATTTTGAGTTTTGATAAATAAAGGCAAACATTTATTTATTATAAACAAAACTCGATTTTTTTTCCTCACAACACAACACCGATTGACAATTGACCTGTATATTTGATTTGTGTCAAAAACATCCGACTTCCGACATTTGGACAGGGACTTTTGACGTTTTTACTACGTGGAGAGCCCAGATTAAATATGGTGATTTTTCATGAAACTATTTTAATACTTAAAAAAATCTTTTGAATTTCGGATTCAAATATGAAATTAAGTAGTATTAAAAAGCACAGGATTTTTTTAGGTATTAAACAGTAAAAACAAAAAAGTAACGATTTACAATCTCTAACACAGTTTATTCTGTGCCATAAAGCGCGCCACTTTTGTAATATTTTGACTTTGACGTTAAAAATAGTTTGAGAAGTTTGCAATATATTTAATAATATCAAATAAATAGTAAAAGATATTATACACTTAAGTATCGTATAATTTATTATTATCTTAAAAACAATGTCTACTTTGCAGCCTATTCAAGCTTTGAACTTAGGTAAGGAATACCCATGATTTGTTTTGTATGCAATGGTTATTGTTCAAAAATTTGTTGTATTGTTCAAAATCCGAAGAAACAAATCAAAACGATGAGTTTTCTTGGTAATACATTATAAAAATCGATTTGTTTGTTGTATTTGGTTAGAAAGACTAAGAGCTAAATGTACATATCTTGCAAAACATTTAATGTTTGCAAATGTATCGGCGAGAACCATAATAATTTTATCATCAACAAATTTCTTTACTGATCGGGAATGAATGCAAAGGGAATGTTGTCATTAAACTAGAAGTGTATAACAGAATTGTTTTTCATCAGCTTTTACTCAATGTTTGTGATTTTAAAATGTGCCCAATCCGCTAAGCAAGTGCCATAGAACAGAAACTGAACTAAACAGAACCATGATAGTAATAATATATAATAATTAAAACACAATTATTCACATTCTTTTATTAGTCATTGATCAATCAGTAGCAACACATTTAATCCAATCAATGTTAATACATAAATACATTGAATCTAGAACTCCTCTGCCATCACACTTGTATTCATAAATAATGTCATGTCTTAACTACTTTTGACAAAAATAGATAGATAGAAATATGTTATAATTGTTGCGACAGTATAAAGCAAATGTTTTAATTCATTTCAGATTCAGTCCAGCAACGAGCATTCATCAAATACTACAACTCCCTTATAGAGGTCAGTATAGTAGTTACCATATGGCCAGGAGGAAGGGAAGTCTCTGTATTGAGACTCCAAAAAAATTGGTATAAAAATTACTATGAATTAGACCATATTAATGGTTGTTTCTCCTCCTGGCCACACCTGTATGTTACTATAAATTTGCACTGCATCAAAATGTCTCATCTCGTTACCTGGTTTCAATTTACTTTATAATTTAAGAAAACAGATACATTAAAGTTTATATATTTAAGGACCAATACAATATTTTTTTTGTGTTTGAAATTTATATGTTTCAAGTTGCAGTTTGTCCATGATTGAGGGCTTGAATGTAAAACAAGTTTGGTGCCTTGTAGTTTTTTATGTATTAAAAATATTATTACAGTCCAAATTAATAGAATTAAAGACTATCATTTGTTTCTATGTAAATAAATAGTGCAGTCCAAAGTCATAGTAAAATCAAAATAAACAGATGTTAAAGCTAATTCTTGGTAAAATATATAAATGTGTTCTATTACTTAATTGTGTACTTTATTAATTAATTGTAAAGCCAATGTGTTATATTTTCTTTATTAAAGTATTTTAACTATTATATATCTTATTTACATATATCTTATTTATTAACTAAAATTAACAGTATTTTAAAAGTAAGGTTTTCTGGCCATTTTGTGTTAAAAGTTATTTGCATTGTTAAGAGAACCATGACATTACTTTCTTTTTAGCATTTGTTAATTTGTTACCTACAGATTTCCAAAAACCATGTTTTTGTGCGTCTGGCTCTGGCTCAGTAGGTGTTAAATCATTCATTTTAGTTTGATGTGTTGCCTCAATTTCTTTTATTTCTTCATTTATCTGTTTCTCATCAAACTTTTGTGAGACTTCCCCTAAATATAATAATTGTTGGTCTAAAACTTGGGCAAGATTATTTTCAGAATTCCAATCACTTTGTTGTTGCTGTGCAAAGTTTTCTAATTGGCTGGGATTTTGTAATTCCTGTGTTTGCTGAAAATCTTCAACATGCTGTTCCAAATTTTGTTGTTCTTCAGGTTCATAGTCTTCATTTTTTTGGTCCAAATGTTTGGGGACATTTGTATAATAATTATCAGAATGATGATACATTGGAAGAGTGTTGGTATTGTGTCCAAATTCTTCCTTATTTCTTGATTGCTGATCATAAATTTCTCTTCTAGGTGTAAATGGTGTAGAAGTTCGTTTCTTATTCTGATTAAATATAAACTTATTGTTGATCGCTTGTACTAATTTTTCTTCATTTTCATTTAAGTCAGCTAATATATTTTTATCTATGTTAGTTGCAATTGTTGGGATTGGCGAAAGTGGTGTGCTCGTAGAAGTTATTACAACCTCATCAGAATCTTCATTTTCAATTTTTTTTATTAAGTCTTGTACTATTTTTAATTCTTTATCACTTAGCACGTTAAATTTATTTTTGTCACTATTTGAGTCTGCCGGTTGTACGTTTAAATGTCTCGTTAAACTCAAAGCATCTATTTCATTTGGTGTTTTGTAAGGTTTATTTATCACAGAGGTATCTGACGTTAAATCAGTATCTTCAGGTCCAATATCACCGCGACCTACATCTTTTGGCCTTGAAATTTTATCTTGATTTGGTGTAACATTTGGTTTAGATAAATTCGTATTTATTTGAGGCTTCAAAGGTTCCGGTGTGTTGCGCGTGGCACTTGGCTTAATTTCTTGTGACCAGTCTGTTGAATCCACTTTATTAGACTTTTGTGTATCTTCTTCATCCTCGTCAATGTCTTTAAGTGTCTCTTTTGCTATACCATCAATTTTATCCCAAAGACCGCCTAACAGTGAAGAATTTTGTTCATCTTGTGAATGAAATTCTTTATCTGGCTCTACAGAATCACCATCAGTTTTATGCCACTGACCACCTAACGGATGTGAGTTTTTTTCAGTTGTTGAATGTGCGCTCTTTTCTGTTTGTCTCTGTAAATTATTAGCGTTGTGCCAGTCAACATTATTTAAGCCTAAATTTTCATTTTGTTCAAATGGTCTCTGTTGTATTGTGTCTTCTTCCTTTATGTTCCACGTGTTTTGTGTTTGTTGGCTATGAAATATTTTGGGGGAGTCAAATTCGTATAATTCTGGATTTTGAGCTTCATCAGGTCTGTCATTATTTTTGTTAGAAGTATGTGTTGGATTATGGTTATTTAAATCGAAATTGGAGGTTTCTTGCTGAATGGCACCCAAATTAAGCATTAAATTATTCCAAGGACCCCTAATTAAATCTTTATCTTCTTTTTGAGATAAATTACTTCCGCTGTCATGTTTTTTGTCTGTTAGTTGAGAATCTTGAGTGTCATTCAAATCAAAAACATTTTGCCGCTGGCCAAATTCTTTGTTATAAAAAACCATTTTGGGTGTTTGTTCATCTTGCTCCTGTATTTGTTGTTCCACATCGCCTATTTTAAATTTTCAATTTATCATTATTTATGTCCGAAAAAATCTAGTTTAAAATACATTCATAAATTTTGTAAAACTCGCATCAATGATATTTTTTATTATTAATTTAAAATTTAGTTTATTTCAAAAATTAACATGATGAAGTATTTGAATAATATGTTGTTGTTTTAATTATTTTATTTATAAGAAATGTTTATTTTGTATGTTTTGGTCATTTGTCTAGCGTATTTTTAGATATAGAATTTTTGTTTATATTGCATACTTACTTTGCGTATGTTGATTGAAATCTTCCAATTTTTGCCAACTGCGATTCTGCTGTTCCGTGCTTCCCCGAGTAACTTGTTGCTGTTGTCCTAAGTCTTCTGCTTTATCCAATTTATTTTGTGATTGCTGCTCAAAATTTTCTATTTTGTCCCATTGTGTTTGAGTTTGTTGTCCAAAATTTTCTAGCTTATCCAATTTTCCTTGTGTCATTTGACCTATTTCTGGCATATTGTCCCATTGGTTTTGAGTTTGTTGCCCCATAGTGTGTAAGGTATCAAATTTTTGCTCTATCTCTTGACTTACAATGTTATCCCATTGACTTTGAGGTTGTTGCCCTAAATCTTCGAGCTTATCAAACTTTTCCTCGGTTTGTTGTCCTAAATTTTGCAAATTATCCCATTGATTTTGAGGTTGTTGCCCTAAATCTTGTAAGTTATCCCACTGACTTTGAATTTGTTGTCCTAAATTTTGTGAATTCTCCCAATTACTCTGTTCTTGTTGCCCAAAGTTTTGTAGGTTATCCCATTGATTTTGTGTTTGTTGCCCAAAGTCTTCTAAATTTTCCAAACGGCTTTGTGTTTGTTGGCCATATTCTTCTTGGCCATGGTACATATTTTGGTAAGCCTGATTTTCTGGTTTATACCGTGAGTCGGCAGAACGAGCTACTCGTGCGTGACCTTCTTCGTCGCAATCACTATCGAATCCATTTTGTGAAAAGCTATGATGAGCTTGTTTGTATTGGGATCCATAATGACGCGAAGAGTACTCTCCTTGACTGGCTGACGCAGCAGTTAATTTCTGAGATGCCTGGCCATCAAACGCACCACTTCCAGCTGGTTTAATGATGTAAGGGTCGCCTTGTCTTTCCCAAGACTTATGATAAGAATAAGAAGAATGGTAACTTTTAGGTTTCGTACTCAGTGACTGCACAAGATTTCCTGAATCAGCAGCATTAGCAATACCTTCTTCTGAATTCGTTCCGTGTGAAACTTTATTGTATCCATTTGTATTCGCGGTTAATAAAGAACTAGTGCTACCGGTTTTGTATCCATTTGCATTAGAGGCTAACAATGAACTACTGCTGCCTGTATTGTATTCATTAGCATTTGAAGCTACTAAAGAACTACCGGTCTGAGAAGCACTGCGTCTACCAGTGTTATATCCATTCGTGTTTTCTGCCAATGAAGAGCTGGAGCTATGTTTCGTGTTATAGCCTGCTTGATATCTAGCTTCTCTTGATGACTGAGTGTTAGCCGTAAATGCTGTGTTACTCGCTAGGGAATTGTAAGCGTTCATATTTGATTGGTGCTGAATATTTTCAGAATTTCTTTCCTCGTTTAAGTCTCCGCGTGTTTCACTCTGAACAGCAAATGGATTAACTGTCGGTACAGCACCGGGGACATTTATCGGCTGAGTATTATGTTTCTCCCATTCCTTGTGGTAACTGTATGAGGATTCATAACGTTTAGGGGCATTCGAGGTCCTGTAGTGCACTTGCTGTCCATCAGTATTTAATAATTCTGTTTCTCTGTTAATGTTACTGTTCTCATGGGTAAAAGAGGTATCGCTGTGATCAGCATCGTAGACTTGAGCAGTGAGCGGCACGGTCCTCCTGATTCCGGGTCGAACGATAACTCTTACCGGAGCAGTAGTTAAGATACGGCTTCGCATATTGCTGCCATACGCACCTGTACGATCTAAATTAGAGGCGCTTAGATCATAATCGTGATGGCTCTGAAATCCTGATGTAGAAAGCTGGGCAGCTTCACTTCCATAACCGTAGCCATGGGCGCTTTGTAAATGATCTGCGGACTGCAAATTATCTGTTTGCATGTATTGTTGAGATTGATCGCTAGCTTGGTAGCCTCTGTACCCCGAGCTATGGGCGCGGTTGCTACTGCCGTACGCGCCGCCGTTTAATCTAGAATTTCCGAATGCTGAACTTTGTGACATCGTAGAAGAATGTGAATTATCAAATGATTCTGTCTCGTCGAAATTTCTACCTTGTAGATTGCTCAGGTCATAGTGGCCGGAGCCGTAGATTCCTCTAGAGTTGGCAGAACTATACACGCTGCCGGTTCTTAGTTTGTACCCGTCTCCAAGTTCACCTTCGACATTACGCACAAGTCCACTCATCTGGTTCTGCGCTAAGCCATCCATGTTATGTGCCTTTTCGTAGTTACCACCCATATTTCCTCTTTGAGCCCCATAGAAGCCGGACTTACTACCTTCATCTGTGGAGCTTCTGGAGTACTGGAAATCCTCCTTTTCCTTATAAAATTCCGGTTTTGCAAAGGCCAAAGCCGTAAAAGCGGCGATGACAAGCAAATATCTCATCTTGAAAGACTCCTGGAAATAGAAAAAAAAAATTATTGCACAATTATTAACGAGATATTTGTACTAAACTTTACACGAACACGGTCTGTGTTTTAAACAATCGTAAATATTAATAGTACACTCATAGAAAATGGAACGTAGGGTCGGTAGTGCTACTTAATTGGGCAAACATCTGATTTGCAATGTCGGCAAAATGATTATTAAATTAAATATTCACATGCAGCACCGTGTCCGCACTAGCATTAACTAATTCTATGCCATATTCGAAAGTAACAAAAAGCGAATACCGATCGATATCATTTCCAAGTTATAAGCTATTTTTTTAAACAATGAATAATGACTGTTTACTGTAATTTGAATAATTGAATTTTAAAATCCTTGGTTTTAAATATTTAAGGCAATATATATATTAGAACAAAGGGGTCTCAAATTAATATTTTAAAAACAAAAATCCTTCTTTCTAGAAAGACTTCTTTAATCATACGCTAGTGATTTGTGTTACTTTTTTAAATCTTTGTTTTCGCTTTTGTCGTCCTGAACATAAATCTGGAACGTAGTTTTGCAGCGTATCGCGTTACGAAATAATCTCAAGCAAAATTTTAATAGTTATTGTTATTAATAATAGTATTCAGCATGTAAAAGTCCAGATGTTAATGAAATATACGCACCTTAATTATTATTCTAGAAATCGAAAGCTATACGGAAATTATGCCATAGTGCACTTACTCTCTTTATTACGTAATGTTTCAAATTACTTTTCATAATAAATTAATACAATTTAAAAAACATGTATGTTTCAACCATCAAATATAAACAATTATCAAGGCATTATTTTAAAAAAAACTTACGATTTCTCTGTCTTCCTATTTATTCATGGATGTGGTCGCCAAATACGGTACACTTGTCGCGTTAAACTGACTTTGACCGAACGGGAGACGCCAATTTATTGTTTTAATTCTATATCTCAGCTAAGATAACCTCCTGGCAGGTCGTGTAGCTCCGCGTTCTCAGAAGCGGCCATGCAAAATATAACACGTAACATACCTCATCAATCCTTGACAAGACACTTATTTTTGTTGGTGATCAATACATGAATCACTAAAAATCCTTTCAAAATTTAATATTCCATCTTGTTTGTGTCATGAATCAGCATGACATCATGCAATCGGGACATGTTACTTAATTGCATTTAGTCTGAATTTGATTAATTTAAACATCTTCTGTTTTATCTGAAAAAAATCAACAGTTAACTGTCATATTCTGTGATTAATCGATTGCTAATACTCTTAAGCCCGCTACAGACGTTTAGATAAAACTGAAGGTTAGAATCCTGGAGACATAAAATTAAAAATGTAACCATGTTAGAGCGCATGAAGAAAAAGACAGAAGTGATACATTCAGTTAAGAAAAGCAAGCCTTCGAAATGCCAAATACGAACTACTGCAGCTCATGATACAAGGCAAGATTCACGGAAAGCGAAGTGTAGGTCGAAGAAGAACGTCCTGGCTCAAAAACCTATGCCAGTGATATGAAAAGTTCACTTTTCAGAGCCGCGGCGTCAAGAACGCAAGTCGCCCTAATGATCGCCAACCTTCGAAAGAAGATGGCACTTTAAGAAGAAGGTTAGAGGGAATACGGCAGTTAATTTTAAAAATCGTGATAGGATATTGGATGATCTTTCGGATAACGACTAGGTCTCTCCGATATTAACTAGACTAGAAAGAGATGTACTCAGAACTTTCCATTATAATTAAGGTCAGAAAACTTTAAATATTGTAGCAATGCTGTGAGATTATAATAAAAAGATTAGCAAGACTTAATACTTAATTGGTAATGCATTTGTGTTGGTTAAAATGACACTATGTCTGCGTTCTTCAATGAATAACTTTTCTTCACAGTTGTATTGTTATTAGTCATCAATACAAAAAAGTACGCAAACAAGATATTAATAATAACGTTGGTTTGTTACTATCATAAACATTGGATAAGTCGACGTGATTTCTTCTTATTGTAAGATAACAAGAGCAAATGTCTCGTTTATTAAAATTATTAACGGGCCGCAGAAAACAGTATGGTTTTCAGTTTTTATGAAGGTTTCGAACTTTGCGTTTCATCATTTATTTATAGACGCTTGTACAAAATATAATACTTTTTCATCTTCGTTTTTTTGTTAGATTCAATTTATTTATGCAATAACGGATTTCAAAAGTCTTTGAAAACTTTGAAAATGCAAAAGAATAACCGTAACAGAGCAAAGATAACTGTAATTATATTAATTATTGTTGGTTCTCGATGTCTTATTGTCGATTATTTTTATAATAAATCACTAATGTATCGTGAAGATAAATAGCCCCATTTTAATATTGCTTACATTTTATAAGTAGGACAAAGATACAAGGACAGAGGAAAAAACAATGAAAATATTAATTTGTTATA